ACACACACACACACACACACACACACACACACACACACACACACACACACACATACACAGAGACGGGCTTGAACATGGGACACATGAAAAGTTCCAGATTTGTGTGTGTGCAAAATGATACAAATGAACGCACTTGTGGGAGGGGGGGGGAGGGGGGGGGAGAAACCAGCAATTGGAATGGAGATCATCTCGAATATTCCAAACTAACCAGGGCAGAAAATAAAACAGGGGAGAGAAGGAACCAAATGCGCAAATCAGAGATCACATTTATCTTTTTACTCAGCTGGAGTTTCAAACAGCCGCCTGTTGGCCTGAACGCAGGCCGGTGGAGCTCAGAAGCACAGAACCCAACGTGTGCCAGAAATGGCGTGCAAGCCGCAGAGACGATGAGGAGGAGGAGGAGGAGGAGGAGGAGGAGGAGGAGGAGGAAGAGCAGGCACTGACCCAGTTGGCACACACCCCAGAACACACTCCTCTCGTTATATTTAGATTTCCAACTACACTAAATATTTGCGCCATGAAACAACTCGCTGACCACTTTGGTCCCAAACAATTCCACAGTTTCAGATAAGAGTCATCATTTATTTATATTTTTTTTTACATAGAATACACAATTTCTAAACTAACAGAACATTTAGCTCTTGTGTTGGATGTTGTTTCCCATTTCTGGGCCACTCCTGCGTTTCTTTTATTTTGGTGTCGTTTTGTGAGGACGGTCAGGATTCGGGATTTAAAATGCTAGTGGAGCAAGGTGCTCCAGCTGGAGCCATGTGGATCTGCCTCCGCGCACATTGTTTATGGATAGTCATCCTGTAAATAGCAGACATTCTGTCATGTATAGCACAAATCCACTGCAATCTGTAGGCCTACTCTACTAAATCTTCGTTTCCACATGTTGAGATGCTGTTGAGACGCCCCCGTATTTGCAGGATTTCATCGTTTCACTGAAGTTGAAAAGTCACACATTTGTTGTCTCATGAAACTCTTACTGAAAGAAAGTCACAGCATGACACAAATGTGCTTTTCAAAACTCCCCCCAAAAACCTAATATTTGCGGGAGTGAAGCCTAGACAAAATAAAGACGTCTGCAGTTGGTGTGTCACACGAGCCCCCTCGGTGTCACATTGAAACCATTCCCACTGCGTTTAACATGGAACATCTGTCGGCCTGCATTCCCCCCCCCCGAACACATTTGTACTGTGTGGGAATCGAACCAACAACCCTGGCGTGCTCCGACCCAAAGAAGGAGACATATACGTACAACCATAAAACGAGGCAGATCCAGCCTGTGACACGAGTTTAACTTGATATTGTGGGGACATTTGGCGCTCGGTCTGTTTTCCTTTGTCTGAATTGAATCTCGCAATGATTTTCAAAGCTTGTTGGACTGAAATAATTCATAAATCTAAACTTGTATTGTTATTAATTGTTCATTGACAAACCTATGCCTTGGTAGCATGTTATTGCACTGAACACGCTTTTATTAGCAGACTAAAGGCCTTCTACAACTCAGTATAGTCAGGACAACAAGTAGTGAGCTGGAACTTCACAGCAGATGTTTATACAATATACAAATAGCATATTAATAATAATATATTTTTTTAAAGAAAACAGAAAGATTGAGTAAAAACTCATACAAACATAAAAAATGTGTCCTCTCTTGACAGCATATTAATTTAGTGATGCACACTGATTATGCTTGTTATAATTAAATGTGTATACATTAGAGTAGTATTCATGAATTACAATATGTTTGATCAGTTGACTTATTAATATAAAGTATGAGTGGGGTTGTCAGCGACTGGTTTCCTGTTTACCACCGCTGTTACTGTGCGTGTTCATGTTTTTTATTTGTTAAAAAATGACATTCATTCGCACAAGATAAGCTATTTTTAGAAATAAAAACAGTAGTTTTTGTGTTGAAGCGCGTGCATGTTTGCAACCCAAGCCTCTGCGCTGCCGAGAGATCGAACCGGTCACTCAGGGGACACGTAGAGTTCAAAGGGTCGCAAGGACATTGTCCACTTTGTCTGGCTTAAGTGTGTGTGTGTGTGTGTGTGTGTGTGTGTGTGTGTGTGTGTGTGTG